ACATTTTTCTTTCCCGTTTCCGCGCTGTTCTAGTATCGTAACGTATTCATGTAAAAGCTCAGCATTGTTGAACACGCCTCTAAAGAGGTTGTAGCAAAATAAGTGGTACTGCACAGTTCCTTTCTTTATGCTGTTGATCAATGTTAAAAGCTGTCTACCACGCTGTGTATCAAACATATCTTGTGATACATCGTTCGAGGTCATACCTTGGATCATGTTGATGGTATCAGGAGCTAATTTGCAAAAATTGATGATGAATGAATTGTAACATTTCAAGCACATACATGGTTTGCTTGAATGGTAGGATTGGTTTTGCTTAATTTTTGAGTTATACATGGCTCGGCTTGTATTTTTAACATCCTGTGAACTAGGAGCTACACCACACATGTTGCTGCAATGAACCACCTAGAACATCAGAAGATGAGACAGAGCTGCAAATGTAAAGAGCAGACAGTGTATGCGAACCATGGCCCCTAAAATTTTTGGCCAACTTATACTTTTAAAATTGCCTTTTTTTGTTTTGCAATATACCAACGTAAAATCAACGGTGTAGTGGGAATATGCGATGTTAAAAAATAAAGGAACAATAAAAAGTCACTGTACCACAAGTAACATGTTTTGCTATTTTTAAAGAGTTCAAGAGAGCACAGCTAATATTCTACCAACCGTAATCTGATCTGACAATCTCTAACTATTATATATCCCGTTTTAATAATCATTTGATGTATGACCTACTTTGTTTTCCTGTAACACCCATCGTGATAGCTAATCATTCAGTCCTTTCATTTTTTCAAATGATTGTTACTGTTGGCACATTCTGAACAAAATATGTTTTAGTGACCGGTCAATGGTAGCTCATTCATTTATAGCCATCATCCATTGAATTCGGAAATATTTTCATTGTGGTACCGAGTCACGACCGAATAAATACCTGTTACGTTCTTCTAGTGCAATGTATTTTTAGCTGATCACTCTCTTATGTTGATCAGCTCTCCTTATAGTTGAAGATACATCTTCCTCGTTTATTTATACGACCTACAATGTTTGGTTAATGTACTCGCTACTCTTTGAACGCTTTATCATCACATATTACCGCAAAAAGATGCAAAACTTTCTTGCTAATAAGCTTACCCGTGCTCATCAATCCAAGCTTTGAATAAAACATTCTGTCTGTTGTATTCATTTACTTTAGTGGTAGCCCAAACCACGTGTAACCTACTAAATTGGTCTGCTAGAATCTTCTCTTTTATATAGATTTTGATTCTGTGCTAAAAACGGAACATGTTGAATGAACTGCCGGACTATCTTCTATACTACATGATACTGCCAATAATACTCTCATTATAATATTTACCGCACGTAATGCCATTATGAATTGTATCTCAGTGTAGATCCACCTTCAGATGCAATTAAATATACCATGCTGCAAATATATGATGTTGCTAATAACGTTATTTCGGTGTTCATCAATTCATATCCAAGCCGTGGTAACAAAAGAAATTTGAGTAGTAGGTTTTATTAAAACTACAAACATCGCGATGCAAATAATGAATTGAACATCTTTCTACAGCAGCTTTGATCAACTAATCATCCACATAATTTCGAACATGTCACAAGTACTTTACCACTAGTTCGATTCATTTCGTTCTAAATTATTGTTATTGGTCGTATACAAAAAATTAAAACAAGATATTTAGGGAAACATAGATCGAGATGGGCCACAACGGACTAGAATAGTATGCTTTGAATATTTTTGATGTGTGAAGGAATGAATGAACATGCTGTTAGTGAAAAACAGAGATCAAGGCATGTTCCCAAATCAATACTAATACGATGTTTTTTGCTTTTATCTAGGGCCTGTGCACTTGCAAACCATTTCAGCATCACATCTGATCATTATCTTGCACATTCTCATCCTCTTTCCTTTGTTTTGAAGTTAACTCTGATTAATTGTAAAACTCCCTACTTTAAATATTCCTAGTTATAATACCTTAGGCAGTCTGCACTGACTGACAGACATCATCATAGAGCTCTGGGCTTAAATTTGTACATGTGAGATGATAATTTGGCCAATGCACATTTAGTGACAAAAGGGACATGGGTCTCACTGCATAAAGACAGATAGCAATGATAGACTCACATGCTCATGCGAGCGTTGTGCATGCGGCTGTAGGAGACTTTATTAAAAATTACTTCCTTGTACTGTGTAGAGCAGAAGCGAGTATCTAAGAACGGGAAGCTCTAAGGAGATAAATAAATGTTCTTAAAAACAAGATGTTCCGACTCATTGTGGGCATTAAATGGTAGGCGGATGTATGTTGTGATCGCGTTGTGGCAAGCCCTAAGCAAAGGTTAGTTGTGCTACTGTTAACCTCTCTCGGAAGGATCCGTGGTTGCCCTACAACCCCAGCACAGAGTTATATAGAGTAATGCTATTGGTGTCATTGGCTGAAGTATATCCAAAAAAGCACACTTGACAAAATGCAAGTACGAAGTGCTGCTAACTAAAGCTAATTCTAAAAAACGGGGAGTGTTATGAGCGGTTTAATTAAATGCTTTCGTTTAAGCGCACCACATAAGTTAAGAATAGAATCATTCGTTGGCACAATGGACAAATCTCTAAGATAACAAATGAGATAAAAATTTATTGCAATAAAAAACACGCTTACACACATCATTACTAACTATCATCCGCAATTAGAGCACTAGTTCATGTGATGACATCAAAAAGAATTTTTCGCATCCCCGATGGAGTTCGTGACAAAAAGGGTTCTAGGCTCTACATTTGTGTCAAAGATATGCTTGCACAGACACAAAAAGATTTTCTGTGTCTATGGTCGGCGCAATGCATACATTATGAACTACGTCCTAGAACAACTGCAGAAATTTCTTGATGAAGATGTCAGGGAAGAGTTTCTGTGCTGCACATTTTGCGATTCCAAGAATAAAACTTTTTTGATACTGGGTGGCGAGCGAGGAATCCTTAAAGTAATCGATCTCAATCTTGGTTCATTTTACATCGCACTGAAAGGGCATGGCGGTCCGATAATCGATATGTTGCACAATGAGATCCGTCCAAATGTTGTGTTCAGTGCAAGTAGTGATACGACAATAAGAATGTGGGATATACACCGTGTGTGTACTTTAGCTATTTTTGGTGGCTTGGCCGGTCACGAGGACGTGGTCCTGAGCATTGATATGAGTGCCGATGGCAATTACCTTGTGTCCAGCGGTACCGATAATTCCATAAAAGTATGGTCGATTCCTAATATAACAGACAAATTTACTGCCAAGGACACATCTTCCGTGCTGGGAAAATATCATTTTGTAAATTCTGAGTTCAGTCGCGCCGATATTCCCATTAAAATAAACTACCCTATTTTTAATTCACAGGTATTGCACAAAGCCTATATAAATTGCGTGAAATTCTTCGGAAACGTAATCATAAGCAAGAACATCAGCAAAAGACTGGCAATTGTCAAATTCAAGGGTAACTATGAAATATACAAAAACTCCGTAGACTCGGACGTTATTATCCTGAAGGAATACAAATTTAAGGAGAAATTGATACATAAGTTCACGATTTTTGGCTCTAAATTGGTGATATTTGACGAGAAAGGAAATTGTCATATAATCAACCTGTCCTCGTATGAAGAACCTATCCAAACAGTGCACGTAGATAACGTGAAAGATGCTTCTTTGATCAACGATTTACTTTTCGTTGTATCGAACAATAATGAAGTTCTCTGTTATTCAATTAATTAAAGGCTAATTTATTTTATAATTACATCGAATGACTCGCTGCGCTATTTCTTCATGAAATGGAACAAAAATATTTTTTACCATTCCAAAAGATTCTCTTCTCAGTGATGTAATATATGAATCAATAACTCATCTTCTAAGCAAATGATAGCTCTATATCACAGTTTTACTACATGCCAATTTTTAAACTTATCACCTGATGAGGCACATATTGCACTCAGAGAAAAACCATAATTACTTGGATATAAAATTAAATATTATTAACATGCCATCTATTTAACAACGTTAAGGGGCGTACATTCTACAATTTGAACGAAAGCTATTCTTTGTTTTTATTCAAAGTATATTTATTTATCCTCTCAGATAACTTAACAAAAATTATGTTTTACCTCTCGAATGGAGTGCTCTAGCTGTTTAAGAAGATAAAGAGCTCAGTTCAGTGACTAATATGATCCTTAACCGGACTACGCAATTCAATAATGTTCATTCATAGTGCAGCTACGCAATCTTGGTAAAAACTTCGTTTTGAAACAAAACAAGCAATATTTACCGTTAAGTCATGTGAAATGCAGAAACATCTTTAATTAGCGCATCATGGCTTCTTAAAAAATGGCTTTTTTATTATAGGACTTGAATCAGAAAATGTAAGATTCTGAAAAAATGATATGTTCTTCTCTTCTGCTGGCCTCTTGGTTACTTCTGGTTTTGTTCTCGTCAAAACTTTCGGCAGAACAAACGGTATTCTTTTGTTTTGGCTTTCTTTCTCTTGTCCTTCATTCACATGTTTGACGTTATTAACATTTGTTTTCCTCTTTTTCGTGGGTTTGGTATTTACAGTTTTTACAGTTTCAGCTTTAAGGTCTTTTGCCGTTTTTTTGCTTTTCTTCTCGTCGGTTTTTACAGCCGTACCACTCATCGCAAAACATTTATTAAGTTTTTCTTCGGCCTTCAGCGATTGCTCCTCATTAGCATTTATCTTTCTGTTAAGCAAAACCAATGAAGACTCAAGATCGTTGTCGTATTGCTCGCCTCCATATACCTTCTTCATTTTCAAATTATTGTTCTCCAACTGTTTTATAACTTTATTCTGCAGCTGTACTATTTCCTCTTTCTGGTGTAAACTGTTTTTCATGTATTCGTAGTCATCTTTTAACTTCTTTATCTCTGTTTCTTTCTTTTCAATTTCTTTTTGATCAACAACATTCCGATTTTGTGGTACTCTCTTCTCAAGCATATCATTGTATCTACACTTTTCTTCCTCCAGGATCCTTCTATATTCTTCTTTATCTTCTAATCTAGACGCTATCTCAGTTTTTATTCTCTTAGCCAGTTTCATATTATCCTTGGTCAGCTCGTCTATCTTTTCTTCGTACTTTATTCTATCTATCTTGAAATTTACTGTCAAACTTTCATGTTCCTTCATTTTTTCCGTTAAACTAGCAATTTGATCCCGATAATTTTCTTCTAAAGCATTCTTCTCTTCTAGTAATGTGTTCCTGTATTTGAACTCGCCCAACTGTTTCTGATTGACTTTGGCTAAATCATCGTACTTTTTCATCAACTCATTGTACTTGTTGGTAATCTCTGTACACTTTTTTTCCAAACCTGCTCCTTTCTTCAAATGCGTTTTCTCACCTGATAATTTATCATTTTTATCCGTCAACTCTTTGTTTCTGTGGGTTAATCTGTCATTTTCCTCCATCAATTTGTCTAATTCCTTCTTTAATTTGTCCAATTTAGTATTAACTGCTTTATCCTGTACATTTTTACCACGTCCAACTTCAATATTTAGGCTCTCAATTCTCCGTTTCTGTTCCTCATTAATTACCTGCAAATTCTTTATATTCTTATTAAGTGCTGCAAGCTCTGTGCGTAAATTACTGTCAATCCTGCCGATTTCCACATTTTGTTTTTCAAATTCTTCCAGCTTGTTTTTTAAATCCATGATTTGTTTTTTTAACGCTCCTATTTTATCATCTTTCTCGATGATTTGACTGAATAAGGATGTGTGCAGTCTGTGAAACTGCGCTATACGAGCAGAAAAGAATCTTTGCTCGAGAACACGTGTTCGCGAAGAGAGTGTAAGATATTGGTGATCCATGAAGGGCAAATTATTTTTTTGAGCTGATGTAAAGGAACCCGCTATTTAAAATGCCAAAACATTTTATAACATTCATCAGAACATTTTATGAACATAATGCCAAATATTAGACAATAAACTGAGCAAATATGGTAATACGAATGTATAATCAATCCTATGGGCATGAAAAGATGCTGAACGGTGCAATATTCTGTGCTAGATACTAAGAACATGATAAATTGATGTATATCACATGTAACTGGAGAAAAAAGCAATGTTTATATTTGAACATACGCAATGTCTTGACAAATTGGGCATTATTGCCAAAAATATTGTCTATGTAGGTATTAAATAAAGAATCTTTCTTAACTAATGGTTACAAACGAGTTAAATAAAACATTCATATCTTCAAATGGATCACATAAAATTTATTTAGTACATCAACACGCTTAAAATATCTTGGTCCTGTGGAAAACGTACTGCCTAACATATTAAAAACTTGCAACAGAGGTACAAAAACCTATTTGAAACATCTTCTGCTGAACGAGAAACGTTTAATCTACGCCATGCAATTGATTTTTCAGTATTATTTGTGGTTTAATAGGTGTTTTGTGCCATTTATCGTACGAAAGATTCATCACTATCATTCCAAATATTGGTGTCTATATCCTTTGAAAAAGATAAAATACTCGCTCACACGTCCGTAGCTTCTGATTTACAAACAGAATAAGTTCATATCTTTCAAAAAGTGTTCTAATTTCCTTTTCAAACCCGCATACCACCGAAAAACATACTCGTCCACCTCTTCGCAAAACTCTGTTACACATATCTTTCAGTCCCTCAATAAGTGATAACATGGTCTCCTTCTGCAGTGATGCTCGTATACCGTACGGCAGGTCTGTTATTACGTGATCTGCTTCTTTAAAATGGTCAGAAAAAACAGATGCCCGAAAAACACCGAGAAGACGCTCCCCAACACCGAACTGATAAAAATTTGAATGGATCGATGTTCCAACAAGACTCGTTCTTACGCCCGGCAGCTGTGTCAGGAATAACTTGTTCTCTGTTCTATAATACTCGTCAGTTTTCATTTTGTCATTGTATGATGCTACCATCTGTCTTGCATTTGGTTCTAGCGATTTCACGTTTTCCTTGTTGTTTTCTCCAAAGGTGTTCTGTCCGATCATTTGTCTTTTGCTTATATCGCTACCAATTACATAGCAACCCATCAAAGCACAGTACAATATGATACTGCCACTGCCTACAAACGGGTCTAAAACAATGCAATTATTATTGGAAACCGTTACATTGAACATAAAAGCTGATACTTCCAGGTCCATTGCTGTATGCCCGATAAACAGTCTGTTTGGTACTGCATAGCGCAGCATTTCTTTCCTTTTAGAGGTCTTCACGTGTATGGAAAAGTACGTTTTGTCTGGTGTGCAGCTGACAACATAAATTATTGTGAACGGGACATTGAGAATAGGTTCAACGTGGTGGAAAAAATCAAATTTATCCTGAAACTCGGCTGTATGTTTTATTTTGCATCCAAAAGTCTCGGTTACCCGTTCCAACCTTACTTTCTTCCCGTCTTCATTTATTTCCCGTTCCTCATACTTCATCCCGTTCACCTTCCCAAGCAGATAAAGTTTAGCAAATTCATCCGTTTTTTTTCGAATTTTTTCTTTGAAGGCATCATCAACAACGAACAATCTTTGGTTCACCTCGCTTTTATGAAGCAAAAAGGAAACATTTTTAACAAATATGGACCTCCCACAAATTTCGTGAACCGCTTCAAAGGTGGTTTTGACGATTACGTAAGGATGATTTTCCTGCGGTAGACTAATTATCTCATGGGGATGATTACTTAGAATAGACAATACCTCGTGCATTCGGAAGTTTTGATAAGTATTAACCAGGCGAACGAGAAAAACATACATATCGTAAGGGGTCGCAACAAGCAGAATTTAATCGATTTATCAAACGCAGACACGTATTTATCCATGTTTATCCCAGCGCTCTAGCCATAAAAGCGCATTCAGCCATTATTATTTACGAACTTGTTTGTTTTAAACTGCTTAACCAACTAAGAAAAATCGTTTAACAGAGGATCGTTTTAAGTTAAGAATGGCAATGCTATTGCTTATACATTTAAATACTGGCGGTGATATGATATATCGATGATGAGCACATATATTGCTTCTACAAATGAAATTTAGTATATTTATTAAGAATTAAATCCGCCACACACAATTTTATGAGAGACAACTCAAAATTAAAATTGTATATTTTTAATAAAAACTATCTTTTAAGTCAAATATACCAGTTTTCTATAGTTAATAACTTTTTTGAAAGTGCTTTCGATTTAAAACTGAGAAGAAAGTGAACAGAGAAATCGAATTTTGTAGCAGACAAGATTGGATATACAATACGGCTCTGCTTGGTGAGGCGATAATTGAATCATTTTTGCGAATAAGCACAGTGTCCTAACAAAATAATAGCTCACAGCTACGTAAAAGCAATATTAGCACGTATTGATATAGTTCATTGCACCTAGCCATTAAAATTTCCGAAATCTTACCAAAAGAGTGTGAAAATGGTGGTTAAACGTATTCACAGTTCTTCTCAAAAACATATTTTATCAGCAACTCTCACAGAAATCACAACTCCAAAATGCCACTCAATCCCATCTAAAGCCCTTCAACACAAAAAGATCTCTGCTCATATCTATAAGATTCGATGACAAAGCTGTGCTATCCAAATTTTCACTTCTTGCTTCAGCTATTTTGCTGATATGATGTTCCATATTCTGCATCAACGCATGCGCTACACCACCAAACGATATTTTATCGACCCATCCATTCTTATGTATGGCAATCAATCCATTCTGCATCAGACCAAATAAAATTGGCTTTATCTTCTGTCGCTCTACTAGAACCTGCTTAATTATCTGATCATCAGGCACGAATAGTTTCTCGACTATAAAATTGTAGAGCTTCCTTGTATCCATGTCTAAATGCTTATTAATTATCCATCGCTTTAAAACGGTTGCATTTACTGCAAAGTTGTTGCTATTCACAGTGCATATGATCTTCTTTGCCACACCATTCTGTTGATCCAATGTAATTTTATCATTTTCGATATACTTAAGTATGTTTTCGCATCTCACATCAATATAGCGTTCTAATATGTAATCATTTACTATTTTATTCAACAGTTTTTTTTCCAAATACTCAAAGTCAAGCGTTAAGTATTTTCTAGTCTTTTTTCGTTTAGATATTTCAATATTTTTCATTTTTTCCTCTTTTCTGGTACCATATTCACGGAACTTTAGTCTCAAAAGAGACTTTATTTCATGTAATGGCACAGACTTGACAAACAACATCGCCTCGTCTTCATCATTTCTACGTATTGCAACACCCTTTACGAAAAGTTCTATAAGCATGTTTTGTTCTTTCTCGGACAGCAGGTCCATGTAAAATGGTAAAAATAACCTATTGAGGATGTATTTCGTATTTATTGTATAGTACGTAACGTTCTGGTATATGTTGTACTCCACAACCCTAATCTGTATCAAATATTTCAAAATGCTGGTAATGGTAGCCACGTTAAACGGCATGTTGTCAACGAGCTGTTTGTACGTGACAGTCTTCAGGTTCAAAATAAAATCAACAACTGGTTCAAGCAACGTACCGCGTTCAAGGAGAATCAATTTGTAAATTTTATACATTAAGAGGGCTGAGCAATGGGATTAATAAAAATGTTAGAAAAATACGTGTTTAAAGGTGGCACCTGGCGTGTTCTGTACAGTAAATCTTTGCATTGAGAATCATAGTATGTAAAACTTATGTGTGGTACAATGCAATATTTTAGACATAAGGCATTTGTATGCATTCGTTCTTAACAATTTTGAACATTTGGCCATCAGTCCGCTCATCCAAATTTTTTGATCATCTTCTGATCAAACTCCAGGATATTATCAAACACAAAAATTCAACTACTTATCGTCCTATGAAAGTGGAAAAGAAATTAACATAATATATCTAAAATTTCAATCATATCAGCACTAAAATTCATTCAGTAAGATATGAATAACTACGTTTCTGGTAGAACAATTCATTTATCTTCCCTGGGATAGCAAATGAAATAGCTGAAAAATAATATGTGATTTTTACTCCTTGTTTCATGATAAAACTCCCTAGGTAAGTCTTGGCTTAACACCATTCTATCATTAATACATCTCGAGATATAATATACTCCTAACTGCGTGTAATTATCCAAAAAATGTCCGGTATACTCGTTCTCCGCTTACTCACACAAAAACAATTCATTATTTCTTTTTAAATCCGTTTTATTATCATCTCCACCCACAAAACTCCCCGGTGCGCTGAACACCTACCATGGCCCTAGAAACTTTTGGTCACACAAAACAATTCACTATTTTTATTACCCATTCTGCACCCCTATGAGTAATTCTGACAGCGACACAGATGACAAGGACCAGTTCCGTACACGTATACAGGCACTCAGAAACTGTGCTATTGAAATAAACAGGGAAGCAGAGCTACAGAGAAAAAGCCTTGAGAGAAACGAGGGAACATTCCAAGAAACGATTAGTAGGATAACAAAATCAATAGAGGGTCTATCGACCCTTAAAAACAATAAGTTTAGTCTTTCGTTCTACATCGTTTTAACAACATTAGTTCTGTGCACGCTCTTCTACTTTCTGCTTCTACGGTAAGCTGTTGAATGTTTAGCACACAGTCATAGTTTTTCACGCACGGAAATGAAATTGGTGGTTGTTGATGATAAAACGCATTTTCATAAGTAAAATTGTATGTTTTAGAACAAAACAGCAGATTTTCTTACAAATGCTGCTTTTAGCTATGTAATTGTTTGATAATGCCATTATTGGTGTTGTTCTTGATGTTTTGATCATATAGTTTTCGTCCGCGCTCTTCTGCGACTCATGTTGATCGCTCGATCGTACATTTGTTTTAAGACCAGAGGAAATGTTTAAATGATAAGACCACCCCAAACGTATTTTACTTCTAATTCATCCCCAATTCAAACCAATATAACTCTTTTTACTTATCTTTTCGTATAACGTGATTTGTCAAAGATGTTTAAGACAATCAGAAACATTTAAAAAATAAATGCTACGAATCCTAACAGAACTGCGCCATGGACTTCTACAAAGGGGACAGGCTAAATGAAGAGGGCAGAAGATTGTATAACATGGGCGAGGTGCACATACGAAAAGTATGTGTTGTCTTCTTGTGCGGTGGACAGGGAACGCGTCTGGGAAGCGACAAGCCAAAAGGCTGTTTTATTCTTCCGAAGTTGAACATGTGTCTATTCGAGGTACATTTTCAGAAAATTAGGGAACTGCAGAGGAAATACAATGCAAAGATAAAGGTGTTTCTCATGACAAGTACGTTTACATATGACGATACGAAGAAATTTCTTGATGAACGCGATAATTTTGACTTGGATATTACTCTATTCAACCAAGATAATGTGGAATGTCTTAATTTAGAGATGAAATTGATGAAATACGACGAAAATAGCACCTGTAAGTCACCCAATGGGAACGGCGGTCTTTTTAAAGCGTTACACCAATACCACATCATTGACAAGATGAAAGAATGCGATATAGAGTATGTAAACGTGGTATCTGTTGATAATGTTCTTGTTAATGTGTGCGATCCGCTTGCTATAGGAGTACTTTACGACAAAAATCTCGACATACTCAGTAAGGCCGTGATTAAGGCAGATGATGAGAGCGTAGGTGTGTTTGTGAGAGAAAACGGTCAATATGTCGTCAAAGAATACTTCGAATCAAAGGAAAGCTCGAAGCTGGCAAATATTTGTCATCACTACTTTAGATTGGACTTCCTTGAAAATCTTAAAAATGTGGATGAAGCGTACCATTTGTCGAAGAAAAAAATTCCTTACTGTAGAAATGGCTCTATTATCAAGCCGGACAAACCGAATGGTTATAAACAGGAACTTTTTATATTTGACTTTTTCAAATACGCTAATGGGAACGAAGTTATTCTCGTCCCAAGATTGCTAGAGTTTTCACCGCTAAAAAATTCAGACAAAGACAAGGGAAGCAACCCAACAACATGTGTTAGTGATTATCTGAAGATCAAATCAACTGCGAATATTCACTTTAAATAAAGATCGGTAACTTATAAATTTATACGCAGTGAATTCAGAACACTTTACGGTCATTTCATTTCGTACTACTCGTGTCTAAATAGCAAGATACGAATTTGTTAATCCATTTTCAGATCTGTTTTTATTCATTATTTCAATGATTACAAGTGTGATCACACAAACGGGCAGAATCTAGTTCCAGCAATATTTATGTGTTATTTTGTAGTAACTGTTCCTTAAATAGTTCATTTGTTGGTTACATGCTGCTGTAATACGGGCTATCAGCATTTGAAAGAATAATAAATAGATGCACCAATATATGCTCAAATAACCTGTCCTGTTCATATCTACGTAAATAATGCTATAAACTATGAAAATATAGAATTTCGTGTAAAAAAATAATAATCGCGGCTCAAATTGGTTTAAATAGATCGTTGCTCGTTCTGAAAACTGAATCCGCAAAAAATAAATAACAGCGCCATTGTTTAACACAAAGAACAGACTATTATTTGCTGATGAATGAAGAATACTGAGGATTGAATGAATGACCCTGGAAATTAATGATTTATACGTTGTAGTACTTTAAATATGTTGCTAGCTATGCCAATACATCACAATACAATCATCTGTGCTTCTACACTGAGACGCCAAATTAATGTAACCGTACAAAGTGACCGGTAATGCAGTTCAGAGAGAAGTCAGTTCCAATGCTATGTGCTCACGGTTCTGTGCCTAAGAACGCAA